CAAGTCCTACCATTGACATTCCCAGATAAAATATGTGTGGTTTTTAAAGTGAGGTGTAATTTACACCTCAGTTAAAATATAACATACAGATCTAAAATGTTTAAATAAAATATACAGATCTAAAGTGTCTGACAACTGTAACAATCCTGAAATACGTAAAGAGTCAGATTTTTGGAGAGTGATCATAATGGTGGGTTGTAGAGCCAGGGCCATGTGTTCCAGTAGAAGACTAGAAATGGTATGAGAAGAGCGGTTGGGGCCTTCCACCCCACACACCCACAGTGAGCTGTTTCACCTCTGGGCCCTCCACTTCCTCAGTTGATCAATACAAAGACTGGACCAAATGGCTTCAGAAAGCCCTCTTGAACTTATTTTGTCACTAAACAGGATATGTAGGCAGACAAGCAGGGAGCTGTCCATGCCCGAGGAGGGCTGCAGCCTTGAGGCCTAGGCCTCCCGCTTCAGTTAGCCTGTGCTTCTTTTGTTTAGATCAGGTTTCTGTAAGCCATGGCAAACCCCGAGGCAGAACAGGATTTCCCTAACTTTGTTCAGCCCTCGAACCAAGAATGAGTTTTACATTTGCAAATGGTTGAAAAAAGCCAAAAGAAAAATAATATTTCATAATGCATGAAAATTACATGAAATTCACATTTCAGGTCCCATAAATAAAGGTTCATTGGAATACAGCCAAGCTCACTTATTTGCACATTTGCCTATGGCTGGTCTCACAGTACAACAGAGTTGAGTAGTTGCATCAAAGACCACATGGCTCCAAAATAGAAAATATTTACTATCTGGCCCTTTACAGAAAAAGTTTAACAACACTTGCTTTAGACCATCTAGGTAATAGCCTGCGGGCTGGTATTACTCTCTCTTCCCGTGTTTAAGTAGAGACTTCAGGATAGATTTCCAGGAACTCTTATTTCTAAAAACCCTTGAACTAGCAATGGGCAATTCCCTACACACTGTCGTTAGTCCCTTAATAAGAAAAAGCCTTTGCAGACAAAGACAACACATATATACAGAATACAGGGCAGGAGTGATCCTCTGGGAACACATTTCTTATAAACAGAGCAAAGGATGATTAGTAGTACATCTGTCCAAATCAATTCACTCCTATAACCTCCACTCTAGAAAACTCAAGTTCAACTCATTAAGTGCATACATGAAATATGTACAGCTTTTCTGTATGTCAATCATACCTCAATAAAATGGTTTAAAAAAAGAAAAATCAAGTTCATAATTTCCACAACACTTAAGGAACTAACATGTGACTAAGGAAGAACAAGGAATTGGTCTTGATGAATGTAAAAATGAGAATTATTACTTCCCTGGTGGTACAGTGGATAAGAATCTGCCTGTCAATGCAGGGGACACAGGTTCAATCTCTGGTCCAGGAAGATTCCACATGCCTTGGAGTAACTAAGCCCGCGAGCCACAACTATGAGCCTGGGAGCTGCAACTACCGACACCTACACATCTGGAGCCTTGTTCCACAACAAGAGACGCTATCGCAATGAGAAGCTTGTGGACCACAACAAAGAGTTAGCTCCAGCTTGCTGCAACTAGAGAAAGCCTGAGTGCAGCAATGAAAGAAGACCTAGTGCAACCAAAAGTAAATAAATAAACAGACAAATTTTTAAAAAATAAAAATTAGAATCATTTTAGTAATCCAGCCATTCCTGGATTAGGAATCCACCTATTCCTAGATTAGGAATCCAGCTAATCCAGTCTATTGATATTGTTAGGCTTTGGTCCTACTTCAAATACTTCTTCTTTTAGACGTCCTAAGTAGGACTAAAAGAAGTATGACTAAAAGAAGTCCTACTTCTTTTACTAAAAAACAACTTTACCTTTCTGTTTTTCCATTTAATCCACAGCATTTCAATCACTGGCCTATAAATCAAATTTAAATAAAGAATGAATAGCATCAGGAATTCCCTGGCAGTTCGGTGGTTAGAAGTCTGGGCTTCCACTGCTAGGAGCCCAGGTTCAATACCTGGTCAAGGAACTAAGGTCCCACAAACCATGTAGCACAGCCAAAAATAAATAAATGTATTTATTTTAAAAATGAATGATTGGCATCAAAATGCTTTCCATCAAAACTATAAATTATTCTCATAGGCAATATAGGCAAATGTTTTTTTTTTTTTTAATTCATTTATTTATTTTTGGCTGTGCTGGGTCTTTGTTGCTACATGGGCTTTTCTCTGGTTGCAGTGAGTGGCGGCTACCCTCTAGTCGTGGCGCATGGGCTTCTCATTGCAGCGGCTTCTCATTGCGGTGACTTCTCTTGTTACAGCGCACAAGCTCTAGGGGTGTGGGCTTCAGTAGCTGTGGCACGTAGGCTCAGCAGGTGCAGCTCCCAGGCTTCAGAGCACAGGCTCAGAAGTTGTGACACACGGGCCTAGCTGCAGGATCTTCCCAGACCAGGGATCCAACTCATGTCCCCGGCATTGGCAGGTGAATTCTTCACCATTGAGCCACCAAGGAAGTCCTGTTCATACCATTCTTACAGAAATGTGTTAATTAGGGAAAACAAAAACCTACAAATAAAGGGGCTGACGAGAGGGGGAAAAAAGTCCTTCAAAACATATATATGGAATTTAGAAAGATGGTAACGATAACCCTATATGCAAAACAGAAAAAGAGACTCCGATGTATAGAACAGACTTGTGGACTCTGGGAGAAGGCGAGGGTGGGATGTTTGGAGAGAACAGCATCGAAACATGTATATTATCTAGGGTGAAACAGATCACCAGCCCAGGTTGGGTGCATGAGACAAGTGCTCGGGCCTGGTGCACTGGGAAGACCCAGAGGGATCGGGTGGAGAGGGAGGTGGGAGGGGGGACCGGGATGGGGAATACATGTAAATCCATGGCTAATTCATTTCAATGTATGACAAAAACCACTGCAATGATGTAAAGTAATTAGCCTCCAACTAATAAAAATAAATGGAAAAAAAAAAAAAAGAAATATGCCAGCTCGGTTAAAAAAAACAACTCCTACAAAAGAAATATGCCATAGGGGAAAAAAACACTATGATGATATTTATTTTTATATTTGTATGACAATCAACAGAGCCATGGTCACATCTCCAACACAACCTTTATGGAGACCTGTGGAAAACCTCACACAGGTGGGAAGGCAAAACGATATGTCTCCTGGGGACCACAAGTACATATACTCATATGCCTTTTGCAAACTATGAAGCATAATTTAAATTTAAGGCAGGCCTGAAAGCAACCCAAATGTCCATCAACAGATGACTGGATAAACAAAATGTGGTCTATCCACACAACAGACTATTATTCACCCATAAAAAGGAATGGAGTACTGACACATGCTACAATGTACATATATCTTAAAACATTATGCTAAATGAAAGAAGTCAGAAAATCCTGTTCCATTTATATGAAATATCCAGAACAGGCAAATCTATAGAGATTGTTAATAGATTAACATAATGGGCTTAGGGCCAGAGGTGGAAGGGTGGTGATAGCTAAAGGGAACAAAGTTTCTTCTTGAGGTGATAAAAATGGTCAAAGCTTGACTGCAATGATGGTTACCTAACTCTGTGAATACAATTAAAAAAAAAACAGTGAATTGTACACTTTTAAAAGATGAACTGTATGATATTTAAATTATATCTTAATAAAGCTGTTTAAAATTTTTTCAAGGCAAGCAAAAGATGTTAATTAAACAACAAGTTTTTGGGATGTGTTTAAGATTCATAAAAACTGTCAATGCTATTTTTATGTCTACTGTAAAGAAAAACAATCCTAAATCAGTCTTATTTCCATCAAGACAGCTAAAAATTTTAAGTATACTGAACACAATGCTCTTTTTAAAAAGCTTAGTACAATTATAACTGATCTTTTACAGCAGATACAATTTTAAAAGATGAAATTCCCCACTAACCATCTTTGCCTCTTAGACCACTATTTGAACAAAGTTTCAGAGTATCTGGAAACATCTGAAAGCCAAAGAATCTCTGCTAATCCCTATGAAGAGAAAAATTTCTTATAACACTGGCTTCTCATCCAGAGAGAGAAGGGAAATGTGTACACTTTGAAACTTGTCCTTTTTAAAATTTCTTTCTTGCTAGGAAGCTTTATATTTCTTAGAAGTTTGTTTATCAGCCTTAAAGGAGAAACTCATATTTCTAGTCTTATTACGCTTCAGGTGAAGAAGGCATTTTCCTAAGGTATTCTTATAACTTCACAGGAACAATGCTGGATGCCCGAGATATCTGGGTTCCTGCCTCAGCATCCGCCCAGGGGTGGTGGGGGTGTGGGGGGAAGGCGAGCAGCGGTGGTCTGTCCTGGCCACCACTCAATCCTCCATAATCGAGCACAGTGCACAAGGTACAGAGTAGGCACTGCGATACATTTATCAAGTTGAATCAAGAGCTGGGGGTTACATCAAGTTATTCTCAAATCATTTTAATTTATGGGGAAAAGTTGCACAGAAATTTGAATAATTTCTGTGATCAGGATCAGCAAATATCAGCAATATATAGAAGATCAGCAAATATCAGATGCTAAGGCACATCATATTTTCCTTGTCCCATGCTGGAGCTACTCAGGGAACAGAGAAATAGACTTCTGATACATAACTGCCCCTTCTCAAGAAGTTCGGAAATTTAGTGGCTCAAAGCAGTCAGACATGAAACAGTTAAACAGGGAACCAGTTTCCAAGATTCACAAGAACTGAGCTGGAATCAAGACTGCCCCAGTGCAGGGTCATCTCCAGGAGCATGGGTAAAACACAAAGCAGCCCACTGGCCAAGGTGTGGTGGAGAAGAAATGAGAAGGGGCAGGCACGCGTGTTCTACCAACCCTTCCAGGGAGAGGAACGGGGACGCAGGAGAGGCAGGGAGGGCAGAGGCAAGGAAGGGGTGAGGGGGTGGAATGGAAGAGCTCCAGGAGGGCTGTGGCCTGGCAAGGCCTGCAAATGATGCCTGCCGAGTTAGAAAACAAATAATCTGAGAAACTTACTTAATATTGAATTTTCAGTTTTGAAAACAGTTCTTCTTATTCCCAGCCTCATCGTTCCTCCCAAATTGCCAGGGTTGTGCTCCGGCATATCAATCACCTTAGGAAACAAAACAAGCCCAGTTTTGGATCTTGCAAAAACATCATTTTCCAAATTTCAAGCTTTACTTTTAGGGGATGCTCACCGAGTAAGGATGTTCCCTAAAAAATAAAATTCGATCGTTCCTTCCAGTTTTCCTATTCAAACACGGTTATGCTTTTATACACTCCTCACAGTATGCTGCCTTTTCGTCTCTGCTTCTCATCTTTCATTCAAATCACAGGTACAAAATTTATTGGGAGCGTCTTCATGACCTCCCTCCTGTCATTATTCAAACTCAGTTTTGGTCAATGTTCACACTTCAAGTTCTGGCCTTCTGGGACCTTCCACATTGGTCTTCATGTCCCTCATAATAATAACCCTCTCCTGCTGCCCACTCCATTTCCTAAAGATTTTCTAAAAGCAAATGGCATTAATACAGTCAGCTATTGGTATCTGCAGATGCCGAACCCATGGACATGGAGGGCTGACTGTACTTATCTGCAGAAAATCTTTAGAAGGATTCCTTTTTTTTGGCCCGTGCTGCAGCATGCAGGATCTTAGTTCCCTGACCAAGAATCAAACCCGTGTCTCCTCCAGTGGAAGCACAGAGTGTTTAACCACTAGACTTCCATGAAAGTCCTCTAGAACGATTCTTTTTATTAAAAATATATATCATCTATTCTAGCATATCCCATAGCTCAGAAACCTAAGCATCACCCTGGATCTCCCTCTCCTTCATCCCTCACATCCAACGTGTCGAGTTGTATCCACTTAGCCACTCCAGACTTCCTGCATCCATCCACACAGTACCTACTACACCCATTACCATAGCCTTTCACCCAGGCTGAGGACAGAGCTCACCAACTAGCCACACCCCACATTTACACACCCCCCCACTACCCTGCACACTGCAGGCAGAGTGGTCATGGTATTTCTCCTGCTTAAAATCCTTGACTACGTGGTACTGGCCCAGCCGAGCCCTTCGGCCTCATTTCCCATGACTTTACCCTCCCACCCCAAGCCAGTCACCGAGCCCTCCTTCAGTTCAAGCGCATCTTCTTTCCTGCCACCAGGAGGACTCTGACCATCTCTCACTCCCCTACTCTCTTTTCCTAAATTAATCCATCCTTAACTTTAAGATCTTAGTTCAACTGTCCAATCTGAGCTTCCCGGGAACTGATACTCCCAGGCATCACAGCCTAGTTGGGGTCCTCTAGCAACATGTTCCCTGTCACTGTGTCCCCTTCAGTTTGTGTGAACATTGCTTTGTGTGCCAGACTGAATCTCCAGGAGCTGGGCTGCTTTTCACTTTTCCCGTCGCATTCCCAGCCCCCAGCACACACGGAGCTGCAGCTGGTGTGCGCTGGATGGATGCATGGAGGACTGCATGAACTCAGAACTTCAGATTTCAGATTTGTCTTCAGGATTAATTCACAGAAACGCAGAAGCACGTGATTTTTATGAAAAGCCTGTTCTTGTTCGTCATTGGTCTATTTTCTCAGTTCTGTTCACTACAATCTCATGGTTTTACTTCACCTTTTAAAAGTTGTTAAAAAAGACTATAGTTGGGTGATTTAACCTGTTCTAATGGAATTGCTCAAGTTTCCTCTCATAAAACCTTTCTGTCCTTGTTTTTTTCTATACCTTAACTACCACCTAGTGCTCTACAGGAAACCTTGACAACTGGAATTTTCCAAGAACTTGTCTGATCTTATCAATGCCCCAGGACTTTCTGAGCCACCTGAACCCTGTGGCCCCAGTATACTGTAAGAGTCACTGAGGGGAAGGGGTGGAGAAGAAAGCTTGACTACATGCCTTGGCAGATGAAGCGCTCAGGTCTGAAGTGCTCTTGGCCTTGGCATGTCTTTCCTATCTTCCTGGGTCAGCTAATTACAGCTAGATTAAGTATTATGGGAGTGAGGTGAGAGAGGGCATTAGCTTCCAGTTCAGAAAGCTGCGCTGCTAATAAATGCCCAGCCCTTTGGGTGTTTTCTACAAAAGAGCAGATAAGACTATAGTACCTGCCACAGACTCATAAGAAGTCCTAGACTGATTCACAGCTTCAATTTCCACCTCAGTTGAAGACAATCTGAACCCTTTAGAAAGACTACAGCAATAAACTCCCCTGGTTTCTTCTTGTAAGTGTAATGTGATGCTTCAAGTCACCCTTACTTACTGTACTGGGTTTTTCCACTCAGGAAGAGTGTTTTTTTCAGTTATTAGCATGTTTGGAATTCAAGGACTGTTCTGATATAAATCACTGAGAATGGTGTCAAATGACCCAACTAAGAACAGGATTCCTGCCTTACTGCTTACTTACTTGGGATGAATCTGACAAACACAAGGCCAGAAAACACTTCCAAAAGAGATATTTCCAAAAGCTAAATGCAGTGGGCACAGGGCTGCCTAAGGGTCTTAAATATTCCTCCAACATACGGGAAAGTCTGGAAATTCCTGAAAGAGCAATATAAGAATATTACTTAGATACATGAAGGTAAATATCAAGAGAAACAGCTATAAGAGTTGAGGGTGGTAAAGAGAAGGTGCGGATTACTGAATTTTTTCATTATAGACTGTGCAATTGTTGGCTCTTTCAACTTTGAACACAGCATTACTTTAACAAAAATACAAATTGAAGGCCCAAATGTGAAGGCCCAATTTCACAATATATCATGTAGGCCTTCCACTAGGGTATTTGTTCACATTATCCCCACTGTTTTCATAGTAATAAGTAAGACTTTCTCCTGAAATGATAGCACAGAAAGAAATCCCAAGGTGTAACTGTCATGGTGACCCTCCAAGTAAAATGTGCTACCATAGAAACCATTGGAGAGGCCAAGAAAATGTTATAGAAAAGATGGGGGAGCGGATGGAAGTAGTTTTCCAACTCTGAATGATGCCCTGAACAGCATTGAAAGAAGAAAGGCAGAGCGAGAACCGACAGGAGGCCTCATCCAGTGGATGCCCATCACACACTCACTAGAAGAGCGTCCAGGCCAGGCACCAGCTGGGGGACACAAACACACCAGAAGGGAACAGCCGGGGAAGGCAGAGACACAGGGCATTCCTGGCCACACCGGGCCCAGCCATCTGCCTTGCAAAGTTGTCAGGCTGTCCTACCAGATCTAAAGATGACAATAAGACTGCCTCTCAGGTTACAGGTGACCGGATTCAGCAACAAAATTAAGGAAACCATCTTTGTTCCTGGCATTCCTTCCACAAAAAGCCTGAAGAAATAGGAGAACATCACAGTTTCAAAACATATCTTTTATCATTACTAGGGTGGTTAAAGAAAAGAATCTCAGAAATCCTTTAGTTTTAATCCCCAACATTTCCAAAATACCCTAGATTTTGCATCTAAGAGGAAAAGGCTTCTACCGTTGCAAAAAGGGTCGCCTTTGCCCATTCTGAGCTTGCCTAAATACAAGCTGTCACATGATCCCCACTATAGATCCATACTTTCTTGGAATGGAGCCACAGACCAGAAGAAAAATAAAAAAAGATCAATAAGTAACGAATATTGGTGGTGATAAAGCTTTAGGAGATGTAAAAGTGTCATGTAAGGATAAACATGGCCCTAATTAACTTTTACCAAAGTTTCTGCAGCCTACAATAAAAGTGTAATGGGTTTAAGACTTCAGGAGTCCTAAGTGTCTTACACAAGAAAGTCTAGGGAAGTTAGACTCCCTTATCAAAAATGAAATTCCTTTTTTTTTTTTGGCCACACTGCATGGCTTGTGGATCTTAGTTCCCCAACCAGGGATTGAACCCAGGCCCTCAGCAGTGAAAGCACAGAGTCCTAATTACTGGACCGCCAAGGAATTCCCAAAGATGGAATTTTTAAATGGCAGTGTGAGAAAAAATGCAAGCCTTCTGACCTACCTTACAGAGCCCTGGTAAGCCCAGCTTCTCCCATGTCCCTGGCCTCTGGACATTTCATCTGAGGACACTCGGGAGGCTATCTCCCAGCAGATCATCTCCAGTAGCTAGCCAGCTATAACAGCCTCCATCATTGCAGATCAAATATAAAGCCTCCCATGTGGCACTCAAGTTCCACCTCATTCAGGAACCATCTATGCTCTTCCTACATATTCTAACTTATGGTTTCTACCTCAGCTTGGACAAGTCCATGGCCAATGGCACCTCTGCTTCTGTCCCTACAACTCTACTACGTACATATTGCCTCTTCACTACTTCCCCTGAGATGGCTGCTCCCCACCATCCCACATGGGCTCATGCTTTAGGGGCACCTTCCAGTTCTCCTTATCACACCATACTTAATACCAATGTTATGCTCACCCTATCAAAGAAATGACCTACACATTGCTAATTCAAGTAAGCGGTAGGCTGAATAATGGCTTCCCAAAGGTGTCCAAGTCCTAGTCCCCAGAAACTATGAATATGCTGCCTTCCATGGCAAAAGGGATTTTGCAAGCCTGATTAATTAAGGCTTTTGAGATGGGAAGATTACCTGGGGTTATCTGGGTAGGCCCAATGTAACCACAAGGTCTTCATAAGAGGAAGCAGGAGGGTCAGAATCAGAGATGGAGATGTAACAATAAAACAGAGGTCAGAGTGAAAGGGAAAGAGGGAGGTTGGAAGAGGCCACATGGTTGGCTTTAAAAATGGAGGAAAGGGCCATGAGCAGGCAGTCTCTAGAAACTGGAAAAGGCAAAGAAATAGATTTTCCCCTAGAGCCACCAGAAGAAATGCAACTCTACCAACCCACTTCTGAGCTCCAGACCTGTAAAAAAAGTAAAGTTGTCACTACATTGGTGGTAATCTGTTACAGCAGTGACAGGAATCTAATATAGTCCTTTACTGTATACAACTTTAACCTCTTCAATCATTTCATATATGCATCTCCTCTCAGAAACTAAAGTATGGCCTTCTCACACACAAGGACTAGATCTTCTTTTTTTAGCTCCACCAGAGTTCAGCACAGTGTCAGGTTCGGATCAAGCACTCCATCATTAAATCTCCCTGGATTTTAATTAAAAATTAACAGAGGAGGCCCA